TTAGATTAAGAAGAATCAGTGTGAATGCCATGCTCAAAGACAGTTTCTAGCATCATTCTCCCCTTTTCAGCCCATGTTATGCCCACTGTTTCTTTTCCTCCCCTAGCTCACTGTGTCTTTCACTCCATCTCCCTCTAAATATTACCAAAATATGGAGGAAAAGACAATGATCTCATGTTACTGCAGCAGTAAAAGGTAAAGTGACATCTACTCTGCTTTAAAGAACTCACAAACTGAATCTGCAATAGTAGCATATATTAATTATAGATCGACTTGAAATATATAGTATAATTTACAGATAAAATAAAATGGAGGGGAAAGCAATATAATTGAAAATTGAAATAATTAATGCTGCATCCTTATTGGCTTATTCTAAGTACAGAAATGTACCAATATTCACTGTAATGTTTCATAATAAGCAAAAATTTGATTATATTGCAATCATAATATTTCTAATGGGAACATGTCTATTCAATTAAAATTATTATGTTAATTATTTTTATGTTTTTATCATTCATAAAATGTTTTCCCTATCTAAATATTCCAATGTCAACTTGTTAAGTAGGGTTTTCTGAATTTTTTTACTTGCTAAACACACTATGGACCCCAGTGAATATTAGAATAAACTAAAAATGCAAAACATGTTATACTTAAGCATAATTGTTTCAAATTACTTACTTAGCCAAACATTTTTTAGTGGGGCTATAAATTTAATAGTGTAAGAAAGAAAGTCTAATCTTACTGAAATTAACTGCTTGAACTACAGTCAGCATAGTAGGAATCACAAAAAAAGATGGTTTTATGGAGTCTAACACTACGAAACTTTCCTCTCTGTGTTACACTTGAGCTAGACGTTAGCTATTTCTCATGGTGAGGTGTAGCCAGCATGCCTTAAAAGTGACTACAACTTCAACCATGGAAGCGAAAGAGAACCAGGTAAATGTATTCAAAGACCAAGAAATTCTTTAAAATTTATCTGGGAATATAAAAACTTTGCTTTTGAAAAATATTTCTTCTCTTCTTAGATGAATGATTTGATGCAATCCATATGAAAACATCAAGTCATAAATCCTTACTAGGTCAGAGAAGTCCACCCATCCCTGGATCTGTGCAAAAGGAAATTGACATTGGACATATCATTTGTAAATACGCAGTGGCTAGACTGTGATAATATTCAAGAAAGATGTGCAATGCACATTCCAGTTCAAAAGGAAAAGATACAGAGTGTGCTAAAGTGCTGCATTTTGTCCTTTGGGTTCCTGTGGGTTAAGCCTGCTGCTTACCATCAGAAGCACCAGCCCTCTTCTACTCACCCCATTATGCTGTACTGATAATACCATCAAAGTTGGAAGCTCATTTATACACGGATGCATGGCCTCGGAGTGGTGAAGCCAATGATAGGTGCCCCTTTAAAGAGGAACATTGACAGCATATAAATCATCCAGAATATACGTTTTCTTAAGTAATGTGGTGATTTCTTTGGACTTTAATATATACTAATGGAAGCAAAAGCAATGAGAGCTTAATTTGATGTAAGCTATTTAACTTATTTAATTATACTAATGTTAATTGAAATAAAGAAACTGGAAACTTATTCCTGTTCACAAAATGTGTTCAGTCAGGAAAGCAGGCAGACTATTCATATCTGTCTGCTCAGTTTTCTGATAAATGTTTACATATTTTGAAATCACCTTTAAAAGGAAGGCATCTTGAAAAAAATCTCCAAATCATTACAAATGCCTGAGCTTTCCCCTGAATACTAGAAAATTAACTTCCAAGGATCACATCTTTCTACTGCAGCCACAGCAGAATCCAGGCAATGGACTAAGTCCTGGATTTTTATGGTAGGTTATCTAAACTCATGACTTAAATCACACTTAGGGATCACCACAACCACCTGCTTCTTTTCAAAAGTCATAGAAACAAAGTTTACTTGCCTCTTGCCAAATCTGATGTGGATGTCACATGTAGTCAACATCCTGCAGTCATCTGTGCTGAGAGAACAGAGCCTATGCATCAGTCTCAGAGCTATTTTTGAAGTTGATCTAATGATAGTCTAACATCCCCAAGAGCTTCTTAAGCTCTAGAGTTAGCAAAGGTCTCACATTTTACAGTCACCTGAGCAGATCTTCCTGCTATATCTGAAGCTGTACCCTGAACCTACAAATGCCGGCTAAATAACATAACAGCACACTCTCCAAGGATTTCCAGCTCTCAGGGGGCAAACCCTTGAAAGGGAAGCAAATGCCTTTTTCCTGATGCTTAATCTTTTTATATCAACATTTTTTATATCAACAAATTACCCGTTTGTCTTAAACATTAATATATAGAGACCACCTATATCAGACCCAATATTTTGACAAAGGAAATATGGGTAGAAGTTGAGATTTCCTATAAGCTACTAGACAGTGTGGTTGGTTCCAGTCCACATTCTGATTAGCTGTTCTTAGAAAGCCAGAAAGCATTCTGACTCTTACATATTACTGTGTTGCAAAACTATAGAATTTAGAATAATAAATCAATTTCCTTTTCACAAAATGTTTACTTTTATATCACAACCAAATCTGTAATTTATGTATTTGACAAGTTCTGCCTTAGCCCCTGAAGTAGGTGGGATTATAGGCATGCATCAGTGGGCCCCGAAGCCTTATTTATTTGTGTGTGGATATGTATGTGTGGAATGAAGGTGTATGTGCATATGCATTCATAAGCATGTGTAAGTCAAAGGAGCAACTCTGCTGTGGTTCCTTAGGTTGTCCACTTTTTTGATGCAAATTCTCTCACTAGCTTGGAACTAGAAGAGTAGGACATATAGTTGGAAAATAGATCTATCAATCTACTTGTATCTACTTCCTTGTGATGTGTGTACAACTGCTAAGGATCACTCTTACTTTTTAAAAATAGATTTCTGAGCTCCAACTGAGATCCTAATGCTTATAAACCCTATTTTTAAGTTACTTGTTTTTAGACCTGATTTTATGATTGGGAGATTATGCAATTGACTGTAGGGCTTCATATTGATCTAAATATCATTTCCTAAGAGACAAAAGAACAGCTAAGGCTAAATATCTTGACAAAAATATCTAGAGTCACCTGGAAAGAGGAAATATCAAAAGATCAGATTGGCTTCTTGCCACGTGTCTGAGGCTTTTTCTTAAAGCCTTTCTTGGTTGTATCTATTTAGATACAACCAAGGCAAACACTTTTGTAATAAAACTTGGCATTTTTCTTTTAAATAATACAACAGCTTAATCAAGCTAAGGAGAACAAAAGCATCCATTAGTTAGAGGTCTCCTTGCCTATACCATTTTTTTTTTTTTCATTCACAATTGATACTGATTTTATGAATGGCACTTACCATTAGTCAGGAAATAATTTTCCAACCCATCTTTTCCCAAGTCAATAAATGATATAAATAGATGCTACAGTGAAAGAATATAACTTATGAATCTGAAACTCAGGGAGTTAAGGAAGAATAACACCATAACTCTACATGAAGTACAAAGATGAATATAGAGTTGTAGGTGTTGGGAGTTGTGTGGCCTTGTTTTGAATCAGTGTATTGAGTGTTTGTTCAACGGGTTTCCATGAAGCAAAGCCTCTGGAGATAGTCTCACTTCACAAAGGCCAGTGAACTTCAAAACAGTGCAGAACACTGCTGGAACTATAAGGCCTGCATGCTGTCTTCTCTCATAATATCAATGATACTCTTGACAGGTTTTAGTATAACTTTATCAATCAAGCATGGATGTAATCATTCCTGGAAACCCCATTTTTTTCTCAAATATTTTCCCATAAAAAAATCTATGGGAATTGATGCTTCTCAGGAAATACCAGTTGTCACTCCAGATCCTGCGAAAAGTTCTGATTCAGTGCTGACAGGACCAGAAGCAATAAAAGTTAATGGGCATGTGAAGAATTGCAAGCTGACTGTATGCAAGCAGCTAATGGCACATTAGCCCTATTTCGGTAAATACACTTTGCTAAGTTTTGAACAATATTTTTGTTCTTGAAAATGTGTGCCTATGTTTATCACCTTTTAGCTATTAAAGACAAAATATACCTGGCTCAATAGTCGGCCTAGCTAGCAAAATGGTAAATAAATGATTTTGGTTTAAAAGGTATTTTGATAAAGACATATTTGACCTATTTGTTTCTTCTGAAGATTAAAGTTCGAGGGTAGGCAAACATGTTTGTTAGTATGGAAAATCATGCTTGTTTTTAAAGCATATAGACAGCTCAAGCTATTCCTGACGGCCACTTCTGAGAAACTCATCTGCTGGTCAGACACTACTTCGTATCTTTGCACTGATACCCCATCCCAATCTCAGGACCCAAACCTGGGCTGCATTGGGACCCAAGCATGTAGGGAAGTGAGGAGTCAAACAACAGTGTAAAGAATGTGGCAGAGATAACCATATAAAAATATATAGTCATCTGTTTCTGTTAATCACTGCCACTGTAGCTTAAGATAATGTAAGCATCATGTGGGTAGGGCTACGATAGATCCTGTTCTTTGTTTACACACACACACTCTCACAGTTATATATGCTCTTCAAATCTCAGAATTGCAAATTAATTCATTCAATTACTTAGCTTATACAAGTCAGAAAATTAATTTTTAATCATTTGGCAATTAATCAAGCCAGGCAAAACATTAAGACAACCAAAGGATATTGAATAAATTCATTTATTCCCAACTTAATGTAAGTGAGGCTTGCCTAACAGATCTGGATTCATACATGTAAATATAAACAACTGCACAGAGAGCCTCAAAAAATTTTCAGAGGTGTTGTAATTGCTGTCTGGGAAGGAGCACTGGTTGGGACAGAGAGCAGCACTTCTCCATGGCTCTGAAGGTGATAATCCACTTCTACCCATGCTGCATTTCTTCCAAATAAACATGTACTAGGAATAATCTCACATCTACTGTTACTAAGTGCTGCTTGCAAAATATCCTCTCCCAAATTCCGAACATTACATTCTATTGCTAAAGAAAATCATTCTTTGTTAAGACGAAACATCTTTTTTAGTAACCTTTTGAAGGCAACTTTGACATCTTTATTTCTGAGACTGTAGATTATTGGATTCAACATGGGTACAACAATGGTATAAAACACAGATGACAGTTTTCCTTGGCCAAGGGAGCTGACTGATGATGGCTGAAGGTACATGAAAGCTGTAGAACCAAAGAAGACAGCAACAGCCAAGATATGGGAGCCACAGGTGCTGAAGGCCTTATATCTGCCCCCAGCAGACTGAATGCGGAGGATGCTGACAATAATGAATATGTAAGAGCTAAGGATGGTCACAGCTGGTGCAATAATGTTAAATGCACTGAAGGACAGAGCTAGCACTTCATTGATAAAAGTGCTAGAGCAGGAAAGCTCTAGTAATGGAAAAAGATCACAGAAGTAATGGTTTATTATATTAGCCTTACAGATAATTACTCTTACCAGGAAGACAGTGTGAGCCGTGGCACTAAGTAAGCCCATACCATATACCCCAGTGGCCATCCATACCCAGACTTGAAAGGACATGGTTACATTGTAACGTAAAGGATTAGAGATAGCCACATAGCGGTCATATGCCATTACAGCCAACATGTGACATTCTCCAACAGCAAAGGCACAGAAGAAGTAGAACTGAGCAATGCACTCTGGGTAGGGGATGACATTCTTCTCAGTGACAAAGTTCACCAGCATTTTGGGAGTAATGACAGTAGACTGACAGCAATCAATAAAGGACAGACTGCTGAGTAAATAATACATGGGTGTGTGCAGCTGAGAACTAAACAGAATCAAGATGATCATGCCCATGTTTCCCACAACTGTAACCAAATAGACTCCTAGGAAGATGAAGAATAGGGGCAACTGGAGCTCTGGGTTCTCTGTTAACCCAAAAAGGATGAATCCACCCACTACAGTATTATTTAATTCTTCCATTCTTTTTAGAAATTCTATGTGAGAATTAAATTTTATATAGAAGAAAAATTTGAGTATCCATTCTTATCACTCAATGAATTTGAAACAGAGTTCATGTAATTTTTATGAATCTTAAATTCTTTGCCATCTTCTTTGTATCTAAGCAATCAGAGATTTTGTAGTCCTGTAGAAAAGAGACATGAAAAGAAATAGCCATATAATCTTTCCATACTTGTGAGTTTTGCCTTTAGAATTATTTTTCTGGTACTTATTTCTTACCCCATGCAAACCATTCTAGCAAATTTAATTAAGTGTTTCAAGACCTATTTATGGCATATCTCTTTTGTTAGGAAATTTTACTTATGTAATATAAACACATTATCCACAAGATATAAATACAGGTTTTTAAATTTTTTCTGACATGATTTTTATTTTGAAACAATCTTTTCTCATTTTACATAACAATCCCAGTTCCCACTCCTTGCCTCCTTCCCCCTGTGCTCCTCAACTTCTCCCTACCTCAACCCATCCACTCCTCAGAGAGAGTAAAGCTTCCTATGGGGAATCAATGAAGTCTGGCATATCTTTCTGAGATATAAATACAGTTAATGATTAAGAAATTGAAATTTTTATACTAAAATTATAAACAATGAAATTGTCTACCATTTCACAATGGTCTACCATAATCGAGACACTTGACTAAGGAAACCAGAACGAAAGTGGACTAAGAAGCCAGTGGATTATAAATCAAGAAGATAAAACATTTTTATTATGGAAATGTAATCAAGCATATAGAAAATCTGAATTGGTTAAAGAAAGCTACTAAATGTCAGGGCAATGTTAGAAAGCAGAAATCACAGGATAGTTGAAGATGTTGTAAGAAACTCACCAACAAACTCAGGTCAACTATCTTATAATTCTTTGTTTGACACTTTTTTTTTTGGACCTAGCAGCTGTGATTGCTTACCTCTCACAAAGGACAGCTGTCCCAATTCTGAGCCATATCTAAATCATGAGGATTAACTTTATAATAACAGGTTGATATTGTTAACTCATATTCATTTGAAGCAGTTGCTTATAGGGAAACAGGAGATTTCTTATTTTCCAAAGTACTTTTATTGAAAGTAGATCTCATTTCTATTTTAATGCTTCTCTCTACTATAGTAGACTTTTACTATAAACATTGAGAACCATATAATGTGACAGAATTTGTCTTCCAAATTGGGATTGTTGGAAACTTGACACCTGATACTGTCTACTGAAGAAGACAAAACATTATAGTGAGAATAGGTTATGTGGCAAACTGACTTGTTAATTACCTAATGTGGGGCTGACTTTGGTCCCTTCTTTATACCATTATTTGAACTTCTTTGGTCCTTCAGACTTTACTGTATCACCATCCTACAAAAAGGACCTTTACTTGATAGGGAATTTTGGTCTCTAGCGTCTCAACTTTCAGAAACTTATGACAAATACAGTTCTGGTCACTATACATTACCTTTCTGTAGTATTCTGTTATACTAAAATGAACACACCAAGATACATGCCTTTCTATATCTATGAGCCTATTCATTGGCTTGTTTTACTATTTCCTTTGTCCTTTGCAAAGATGCTCCAAGAAACAGTAGTCTCCATCACAAGAGCCCCATTATTTGTTTATAAATTATGGTAGCTCTAAACATGATTGTGGATTTTGACCAATTTCATTTGTCTAACTTTCCTTGTGTCCAAGTTCTAGAAATCATGTTTAATTCCGTGACCTTCTTACAGCTCTGCTTGTATCACATTAATGTTTGTATGCTTTTTTCCTTGTTGTGAAATTTCTCCATACTTGCTTTTATCAATTATCTTAAGTTTCCATTGTCATATGCATCTTCTGAATGAATCATAGGCAAAATAACAAAAATGTTTAATGACAAAGAGTTGTTTCATTACCAGTAAACTGAGATGCAAGGAACCACCTATATAACATATGATTTCATAGGTTTATACTTTGTAAAATTTCATCTTAATTCTGTATTGAAACAACATTATATCAATAATTTGAATGATGGAAAATAAGAAATTGCTGTGTAATTTATTAGAAATATTAATGAATACTTACATGCTGATAATAATTTGAGTGCATTATTAGGATATTAGCATGAACAAATATTAAAACAAATTTAAAAATGTGAAGCATACACATCCTTATGACCTTCAGTATAGAGAGATCAAAAATAAAGATGATCTTCTCTTCACGATTCTACAGACTAGAAGGGCATAAGTAGGCATACAAGACACAGTATTAAATTTGGTATTTAAAAACATCCTGAAGGTACACGGCAAAAATGATGATAGTCCTTACTCGAGGGTTGGTATTGACAAAGGCATTTTACAGAATATTAAGAAATAAAATTTTCTCTTTTTATGGACCAGTATCATGTAATATGGCATTATAAACAAGTACATTGAGGTATTCCCACAGTTACATGTTGCAATCTTCCTTTAAGCTTTAATCTAATATCCTTATCTTATTTAACATATATATGTTAGTGCTAAGGGCAAGATTTGTGTTTTATTCAAGAATTTTAACAAAAATTTTCATAAAAAATAAAAGTCAATACAGTAAAGCAATGCTAGCCTTGAAAATATGCACATATTAAACACAAATGAATATACTTTTATAATTTTAAATATTTTTAATTTGAATATATTTGATTATATTCATCCCCTCACCCAAGTCCTTCTAGATCTTTGCCACTCCCTACCCACACAACTTTAAGTTCTTTCTCAATAAACCACCAACCCAATACAATGACAATATTCCCCAAAGCAAGAAAGTGAAATAAAACCATGTCCTTCCAAATAAAATCACCAAACTGTAACTAAATAAAAACACACACACACACACACACACACACACACACACACTAAACAAACAAACCTTCTGCAGTCCATTATATGTTGGCCAACTACTTGTGAACATAAAGCCTGTCCTTTTGAAACTCAAAGCCCATCCCTAGTGACACAGGTCCTCAAACAAGGCCACATCTCTTACAAAAATGTCACAAATCCTAATCTTTTCTAAATAGTTTACCAACCTGTATCCAAATATTAAAATACATGATATATATATATATATATAATTGAATGCTTATATGTATATAACAATAATTATTGAAGAAGTCAATAATTTAAGAGTAGGTGGGGGAGAAAAGGAGAAGTTGTAAAGGAGAGAGAAAATGCTTAAAATGATGTAAAAATACAGAGGTTTCAAATATGAAATTCTCAAAACAATTTTAAATTGTAACAAATATTAAAACAGTATTATCAATCTCATCCCCAAAAGGAAGTGAGCATCTTGGAATTAAAATGGATCTTGATAGGTCAAAATCACATATGTCTATTAACAATAGAATGTAGAAAAATAATAGAGTCTAAGATTTTGCAAGCTAAGGAATTGGATATGGTCATACATCTCCTTCTTCCAAGACAGCAATATGCTGGGTGCTTTTGTTCTCCTTTACACTAGAAGGAAAAATATCTTTGATCCTGTGAAGAACAAATTACATGGAATTACCTGTTGAGCTAATGTTCCTAAAAGTGGATCACAAAACAACTTGTTGTACAAGGGTTGGTTGCTATAAACATTTTTTATGCAGGCATAGACAACAAGAGATTGGCTAGGAAAAGAATAGTGGGAGTTATCTCCCTCTAAAGTCTTATCCCTCAAGTTTCATCTCAGGGGAAATTAAGAACCGGAATTCATATATATTCCCCAGTGGTTTTCACTTGTGTAATGTAATCCAGTAATAGGATTCACAGTTCCTTTAAAGTATAGATTTATTAAAGTATCTAAGAAACACTAAAATATTCCTGAAACTTTTAAGATATGCACTAAAGGGCTTTTAAAAAATAGTTTCATCAAAAGAAAAAAATAACGAACAAGAAAAGGAACTAAAAGAAGTTGAGCTTTGTAACTCTCATTGACATCAAATGTGCTTAGATAATAAGAGAGAGTTGCAAAACTTTTTACTTAGAAAATATATGAAAAATTGTAATAAAGCAGCTTTGTGTCCAACCAGCTTATAATCATTTAGATATTTTAAATGATATACAAGAAATGGCAAAGAAGAATGATAATTAAAAACTAGGAAGAGAATGGGGACGCTGGTGCCAGTTAAGGTAGATGCCATCAAGAGCTACTTGGTCTTTACTAAAAAACTGATAACATCCCAAGAGGAGAAAGATGAGTTCACTCCTCATTTTTTCATGTATAATAATATGAATTTAATTCTGAAAAATGAGGAAAATGTCTTTAGTATACTCTCTTCTAGATAAAAAATAATGTAAAACATAAAAATAGCCATGAGGAAAGAATTTCCATTAAAGATAACAAGTACAACAATTGTCTATCTTATTACTTTAGTATATTTGCTCTGGAATTTTCTGTTGGGCAATCAGAAAGCTAAATATCTATCAAATATGAATAGTTCATTCAGACCTATTTACTCTTTTCCTTGCCCTTCAAAATATTCTTAATTTCTTATGGGTATGTACTATCTTATAACTCATCCTGTTACCTACATTCTTAGAAAGAATATGGTGTAAATTTGTAAATTTTAGATTCTTGTTTCAGGCAATTTAGTCTAATACTGTGAGATTTGTTTGTTAATCCAACTAATAAAGAAGGCCAGCCACATAGAATATTAAGATAACTAAATGAAAGTGCATAAATATATTTAATCATTGGTTAACATGAATGAACAACGTCTAAAAAGAGTCAGGAGAGTAATATAAACAACATCACCCATAAACAGAAACTGGAGTCCCCTTCTTTTTAAAGATAACTTGCAAGCAGAGACCCACAGCTAAACACTGATCTGAACTCCCAGAATCCACTTGTAGAGAGGGAGGATAGGTAGGACCAACATACTAAAAATGGCAATCTTGCCAAAAGCAATCTACAGTCAATGAAATCCCCATCAAAATCCCAGCACAATTCTTCACAGAGCTTGCAAAAACAATTCTCAACTTTA